GCAATCTCTTTTATCGATGCAGACCAACAAAGAGCTGTCGAAATATGACTTGAATGCCGTTAAGGAAGTGTTTACAAAATATATTTACTCGTGGTCAGCATGAGGTCCTTAATAGCACAATAGAGGATTTCGTAAATCGGATTATTCCTAAGTACTTCCCTTATTAGTTCTGAATGATTGTACTGACTTGAATTTTTAAAAATATCAACGATTATCAATAATTCAGAAAAACTTAATGTTTTACGCAATTTTTTATTTTTGTTGTTAATAAATAATAATTTATCTCTAGCTAAATGTGGGGTTTACGATAATTAATTAGGTATAAGTAGTAATATCGTACTTTAACATGGTATACTGGACAATTCTACAGCTTCCTTATGCTAGTCATAGTTCTCCAGATTTTTATTATAGCATAAATCTGAGTTCTCTGATTAGCAAATGAAAGTTGTTCTAGCATCTACAAAAGGTAACTTGTTATACAGTTTCATCTTGCTTGTGCTAAACACTTTGCTCCAGATTTTTGTCGTTGAAAAATTCTGGGTATCGTGTTTAGCCAAAACAAGTTGTTATAATCGTTCTATAACTTCCAAACCAGTGGTTTTTGAAGCATTTTTGATCTGCTAGACACATTACTCTAGATTTTTGTTTTGAATTAAATCTGGGTATAAGGTTTAGCTGATAAAAGATGTCAAAAATTCTACAAGTACTTCTAGCCAGCATAAGATATCGAATTTATATTTTGTATCTTCTATATCTCGTATTGTACATCTAATGCTGATAACTATTATGGATTTACGGATATGCCGGAGGGTCTAATGAGATTTCTAACATTAGCCCTACGTATATCTGGGTCTCCGTAATTATAAAATCAGAATCGACATCAATAAAAAGTGAACAATCTTACGAGACAACGGATATATTTGGTGGCTAATGAGTTATTAGCTACATTGCCACCTTGTATATTCGTAGTTTCGTAAAATCAACTCTCAAATACAGGATACATATGGATTTAAGTCGATCATATGAGAAAAATGTGCTAGGATCTAACATGTGTACTTCCTATATTTGGGTTCTGCGTAATTCTACAAACATCAGATTTCCTAGGAAGAAAATATATTTCGGAATGATGGATCTACAGAAATAATTGTGGCCTTATGAAATTTTGGACACATCAGTCCACCTTATTTCTGTTCCTCCGTCATTCACAATCTTATCTATATCTTTTTTATGTGGGTGGAAAATATCATAATTCTTTATAGATAATTCATTAAATTTTATAGATTTATATATAGGTTAGTGTGGAAGCAATAATTATATTTAGTATTTTATGGGTCTACATAAATATTAGCGTATTACTGTAGCTATAAATACATCAGTCGCTTTTATTTATGTAGATTCCTAATTTTATCAAACTTCGACTGCAGCGGAATGAATAATTTTTTGATAAAAAGCAAGTATATTGGGTAATTTTATGGGTCTACATAAATAGTAGAGGTATAATGAAAGTCAAATAAATTAAACTCTGTTATTTATGTTGGTTCATATTATTGAGTATCTACAAAGAATTGTCAAGGAATACATTTGTCAGGACAGATAAATACATCGCAATTTTATGGATATACATAAATATTAGCGGACTAATGGGACTTTAAAGTACATAAGGCCCTTCTATTTATGTGCCTCCGTATTTTTAAGCCTCATAGTAAAAAGTCTACCGATCATTGAGATTCTACAGTGTTTACGCGGTTTGGTAAAAAAAAGTACGCCAGCAAAAGTAATATTATGGGTCCACATAAATATTCGCGGACTTATGGAGATTTATAAATATACATCAGCCCCTTTTATTTATGTGCCTCCGTAATTTTATATCTTCAGCATTATTTAGAAGCAAACTTATAATAGTTGGTGTTAATATTCAGTTCAACAATAATTAACAATAGACTCTGGATTTTTTGTAAAGCCACAATGTCTCCACTTTTTGTTAGTGTAGGCAACTTGGTTTTTCAAGATGCCTAGAGTTGAGAATCATCGAGAAACTCCTTACTGGCCCATATTTCTGGGTCTCTGGAGGAGCCAGGATGCCTTCAATTATGTTTATTACTGCAGGTAGACTGGGTCTCCAAGAGACCTAGAAATAAAAATCAACAATGAAGACTGAAGAAGTATATTGCAATATGCTGAATATTTTAGGTTTTTGATTTTCAAAAATTGGGTGTCTAGACTAACCAAATCAAAAATTGGGTGTCTAGACTAACCAAAGGACTTGTGTTATTGGTGTAAAGTATTTGGAGGTCTAGACATCTGGGAATAATAATGAAGATTGAAGAAGGTATACTTTATAAGAAGACTGACGTATTATAATAAGCAGGATATGTGTTTCTGTGTGTCAGGAAAAGCTAGAGAGCCACCACCTATTTTAATTAGTGTTGGTAACCTGGCATTTCTCGACATTCTGAAATAAAACTCGACGAAGGTGTTAGCGTTAGCCAACTACTACAAACATGTTTCTGTGTGTCTATAAGACCACCAGGCTACCCCAAGTCTCCAATTTATTAGGGTAGGTTACGCTAATCTCTAGGCATGTGGGAGTAATAATGTAGATGAAGACATTTTTTATTAAATATTTATTAATATTAGGATATGTTGGATATATTATGTATTTGTAAGTTTCTGGGTGTCTAGGATAGCCAGAGTACCAACACTTAGTTTAATTAGAGTTGGTTACTTGGTCTTTCCAGACACCTGGAGATGAGAATCACCAGAAATGTTAAATCAACACTTAAAATCGTCTACATTAAATATTTCTTAATTTTATGAATCTACATAAATATAAGTACATAAGATCTAACTTCGTATTTTTAAGAGTTTGTAGGAATATAATGTATATATTATACTCATGAGCAAAGCGTCTGCATACATTTTACACTCTTACATTGTTCTAGGGCAATGAATTTTCGCTCAAGGTACCTGAGAATCAAAATGAAGATTCAAGAAAGGGCTATTATTGATGCGTGTTCTATTAGAATATGCAGAATATATTTTGTCAATTTGTGGGTGTCTGGGAAGGCCAGAGACGCAACACTTATTTTAATTAAAGTTAGTACTATGGTTTTCAAGATACCTGGAAATGAGAATCGCCGAGGTTGTTAACTGACAGCCATTGGCGTAACTACAGTGGTGCCCGGGGGTGCCCCCCCCCCCATGTACTCCTGGGCACCCTCCAGAGAAATTTTAAATTATGACACTTGGCTACGTATTAATTTTTATTTGCTTGTGATGCAGTAAAAATGACGTTTTCTAGTTTTGTTGTGTTCAAAAATTGTGTTAATTTTTATTTTTTTTAGAAAATTTGTAGGTATTTAAGTAATCTACAGGAACACGGTTTGATAACCAAGTCTATGAAATCTACTGATAGAGAAATTTATGTAAACGTTTTATTCAAAAAATGTGTTTTTAATATTATTCTTCATTTTTTAAAGGACAAAAGACCTAGGCCCCCCGTGGGCTCAACCCCAGGCCCCCCCTGCTTTATTTTTGAGTCTAGGGAAATCATCTGGTTTTCCAAGGCACCTAGAGATAAGAATCAAGAATGAAGATGGGTTTATTAGTATATTTTGTATAATTGTGTAGGTTTCTGGGTTTCTAGGTAAGCCAATGAGCCACTACTTATTTTAATTAGTGTTAGTAACCGGACATTTCTGGATATTCTGAAATAAAAATCGCCGAAGGTGTTAAGTCAACTGCAAAAACGTGTTTCTGTGTGTCTACGACAACCAGACTACCTCAAGTCTCCAATTACTTATTAGTGTAGGTTATACTAATCTCTAGGCATGTGGAAGTGAGAATAAAGATGAAGAAGACATTTTTTATTAGAGTAGTTTATTAGGATATGCTTGATAAATTTGAAAGTTTCTGGGTACCTAGGATAGCCAAAGTAACCAATACTTATTTTAATTAAAGTTGGTTACTTGGTCTGTCAAGACACCTGGAGATGAGATTCAACGGAATTACTTCGGGAAACCATCGCCTGTTTCCTGATTAACTGCACCATCATTGATTACAGTAGCTGATCTTGTAGGTTTCTGGGTTTCTAGGAAAGCTAGAGTGCCAACATTTATTTTGATTTGTGTTGGTACCTTGTTTTTTCCAGACACCTGGAGACAAATGATACACTAGAGAAGGCCGAACTAAAGGTATCAAGAGGTTATTAATAACTCCTTGGGAGTCTATGGACAACAGACTACTGACACTTGTATTATATTAAAGTGTCTGCAGTCTGTAGTTCAGGAATACCTTGGATGAACATCAACGTTATATAAGAATTAAGATTGAAGATGGGTTTATTAGTATATGTTGGATATTTTTGTAGGTTTCTGGGTTTCTAGGAAAGCCAGAGTGCCAACATTTATTTTGATTAGTGTTGGTAACCTGGTTTTTCCAGACTACTGGAGACACTAAATACGGGAGATAGCCGAATTGAAGATATCAAGAGCATTTATTAATAGCTCCTTGGAATTTGGACAACAGGCTGCTGATACTTGTATTATATTAAAGTGTCTACAGTCTGTAGTTCAGGAATCCACTGGATGAACGTCAACGTTACAAATATCAAGACTGAAGATGGGCTTATTAGTAAATGTTGGATATTTTTGAAGATTTCTGGGTTTCTAGGAAAGCCAGAGTGCCAATTACTGGAGAAACTAAATACGGGATAAACCCGAATTAAAGATATCAAGAGAATTTATTACTAGCTCCTTGGGATTCTATGGACGACAGGCTACATGACATTTGTGTTATATTAAAGTGTCGGCAGTTTGTAGTTCAGGAAACCAGGGGTTTGACATCATAGGACATTGATTTTATTGATTCAAAAAATGGATGAATTGTTTGATGAAATAACGGGTATATCTGGGGTCAGTATATAAATATGATAATATTGGTCCCTTTTATACCTGTAGTTTCACAGTTCTAACTACATTTTTTTTAGTAAAACGAGTAAGTTAACCGATATATTTATTTTCTAAAATATCTCCTAACACAGTGAAAAAGTTTAATATATTTATGGGACATTTTATAGCGTATTTCTTGCAGTGGCTATTCTTTTTACCATAGTTCTCTGCATCGGTATATCTGTGTGGCATCTTTTTATCGACTGAGGAAGAAGGGCTAAAAAATAAATCTTTTGAATATATGTGTTACGTCATAGTTTTCAACGCTACCTTAATAGTATATGGATAATATCTCCTAAAATATCACTGTCCTTGGTTGAGTAACATGCCATCTCGCATAGAATACGTAAAAAACAGTTTTTTCCACCATGTTTCTCACTAAAACTAGTTAAATAATATCGTAAAAGCATTTATATTTTATATTGACCAATTTTGTTTCCTAGCGCATTCGCCATAACGAATGTATATTTAACTAAACTTTATGGAAGCTTTAATTTCACTGATTTCACAAAATATCCTTAATTTTAAACACTTACGCATCTAATTCCATTTCGAATATCTTATAAAGCATAGACCTTTCAAAAAACTGTCTTTCAGTAGATTCACTCGGCACCAAAGGAGGAAAAGTGTACTCACTTTCATTTTGAGGTAAGAAATAATTAGCCTCAATGTTCCAAGCTAAATCTGCATCTATTTCCGAAGGAGTGAGTTTAATTGCTAGTGCTATAATAAGCTAGATAAAAAACGTAACGGTTTCTTACATAAAACCCAGAAAATATTCAAATCTTGAAAATATATCACACTTACCCCCATGAAAGGATCATAATACGCGGAATATGGATATCTAACTGTGTTAAGAAAGGTGTAACTTCCTTCATCTTCAGAAAAAGTATATTTAGCTAAAGTTATAATGCTTACTACAAGAAATAAGATGTGAGAGTTCATTTTTTACATTTTTTTTAACTGATGTGGAAGTGACAACTGGACTAGATACACTGCAGGTTCATATTTACTTTAACTATTAGTACAAACGATGTTTACTGTTATAATTAAGAAATGATAAATGGTTTTTGTCTTAAGTTAAGAGCAGTGTACAAATTAGCACTAAATTTTGGTCAAAGATTGTTGTATTAAAATAAAACTCAGTTTTGGATAAACACATAGAATTTTATTCAACAAAATCTACAATATATTTCATGCAAAACAGGATGTTTAATAACAAAAAATTCAGATCTTAGAAAATCCTCTACAAATTAAATAAAAACTCTTTTTAATAACTTTCACAATGAACGAATACGCTTTTTATAAGCTGTTTTATCACAGAAACTCTCCTAAAAATCCTACATAGGTACAATCTCAGTTGATAATATTTTTCTTGATGTATTGCTTCTGTATGAGTACCTCTTTATTTTAGCCTTCGATTGAAGTCTGTATCTCTTATAGTTATTACATTTTATAATACTGATTTTTACTCTCATATTTCAATTATGTCCACTAAATGAAAACTTTTACATATGTATATATGTATCTAACTCTTTAAAATCATTCAAAAATAAATTATATTCATATAAACCTCTTTCGTAATTTGAGATATAGCTGATATCAAATATGGTAAATACTATGACTAAGATATACAAGTAGGATGCTTACAACTATGAATAATGACTAGAAACTTTAAGGATAAGTAAGGTATATAATCTTCTCAAACTTGATGTCCACTTATAGCATTTATTGGCTAGAAATGAGAACAGAACATTAAAAAAGCTATATATTATATAGTGACAAAAATTATCTGGTGTTTAGTTTTTCTCACTATAGAAAATTATTAACAAGTACATAACAATCAATAAAACTACCAACTACAAAAGAAAAGAAGATATTCTAAATAGATCTAAAATATTACTAAGGACTTACTAAAGACTTACTCTAGTATTTATTCTTGAACTAGAGGAGAAGTCATTCTCTTCAATACAAAGATCAGAGTCTGAGTCACGATTTTTTAAATTCGAAGACTCCTAAAATGTTTCGTAGTTTTATTGAGAGAATACACAAAAAATTCAGTCAGTATTGTACCTGAGTCAATTGCTCTGTAGTGGTCAGCAATCTGGCCAATGGATTGCAGCAAACTGGCAGGGTCTCTAGCAGTGTTGGCTTAGAATGTGTCAGTAATGGCTTCATATACTTTGTATCAAATGAACCCCAAATTCTAGCAAGCACAGCCTTTTCGTTTGGTTTGGGAGCTTCTGGTTCACCAAAAGGTTCGTTCCATTCATTTCTAGGTGTGGTATTCCCCTATAATAAATACAACTGTAGTTAGGGATGAATATACAAAAAAATTGTATAGAGTATTTTCATGCAGTATGCATGCCAGTGAAAAGATTGTGATCTACCTACCACAATGCCACGTTCCATTGAATTATATACCTGCTCAATAAAATGGTGATATTAAAGTGAGAGTGGAAATATAAATAAATAACAGAACTTACACTATGCAGTCCATTTTGAGAGAGAGCTTCTGTTTCCTCGTCGTTGCCCAATCTGAAATAATTACATTATTATTATGAATTAAAAGAAAATTAAAAGTTTGACTTACGGTATGTTCAACCACCTTAGCAGGTTCATTGTTGCTCCACCTTGAATAATTACTGTTATTATTACAATAAGGGAAGTTGTAGTAAGCATTGCTTGTCTCGCTTCTGAACGTGTGTTTCTTATTGCTAAAGCAAATGACATTGCCCCTCTTAGACCTGAATTAAAAAATTACTTCTTAAAAATGTATACATACATCCTTAAAAAAATTTACCTGCAAAGAACAGCATATGTTGAAAATTTAATGGTATCTTTGGGCGTCTTCCTAAATTTAACAAGAACGACAGTGGGTATACATTTGCAGCTCTTCCAACAGCAGCACATATCTATTAAGTGTTAATAGAAATATATATTTAAAAAGACACACATCTTTTCTTTATACAAGGTCAGAAAATATTGGCATTTGGTGCTGACTCTCACTGACCCTGTATGTTCTTTTAAAAGGATACAAATCCAGTTAATATAAAAAGTGGATCAAAGTGGTGTTTTGGGAATGTAAACATCGAAACGCCTATGTACGAAAATATAAAATTTTCAGCTAGAAAATTGAGCAACTCGAACATCTGTTTAGTTCTAATTCTAGAGTCTTCTGACAAGTTGTTGTATGTATAATGGGCTTGGCATATTCCGCAAAAAAGCACAGCCACAACTCCTAAAATTACAAATGTCGCAATAAACTAAGTATTATAATAAAAATAAAACTGTACCTGTTAAATCTGAAGCTTCTGCAATCAAGAAAGTGCTGTACGACATAAGAACGAATAAGGCTGATTCGAGTAGTGGAAAATCTCGTACTCTGGTATATTTAGTCAAGTAATTTTTATTAAGGAAATATAAAAGGTAAAAAAATTCGCTACTTAAAAATATATTATATTCTGTTCACAAATTCAAATTACCCTCGGATTATAATTACAGTTTTCTAATTTCTAATGACAGATAAAACAAAAAAACTTATTATCAGTAGCGCACTCTGTCGTTGACAAAGTTTCAAAAAAAAACGCCGCCGAAAAGACGATAGTTTTTTGTACCCCAAGAAGTGTGGTAATAGCGTAATAGAAGGGTAATAGTATATAAAATTTAAAGAATTTATCTTTTTATTGTTTTACAAAGTGTTTAGAAAACAAGTAAGTTTATAAAACCATCAATAGAGACGTTATTTACGAAGTAAAATTGTTTTTAGGTTCGTTTTCTATCTACCGGTGTCTTCAAAATGACAGTAGAAAAGTTTTTCAATGTTGTTTCAAGTTTTTCAATTTAAAATGTGCGATTAAAAAGGATATCAGTGCTGTGATACAACCCATAACAGCTCCTATCAGTAACGAAAGCATGAATATTCCACAAAAATCACCTACCGCTTGGAAAAATGCCTTTATTTCGAATCCACCAGTACCTAATTGGTACCTCTTACCATAATGCTGAATGGACCTGAAAGAGAACCCCATATATTTTTAGAAATTGTGGCCAAAATTTACTTAAATTTTGGTATGGCCCTATTTTGAGATAGATGTTTGTATGGATTAAATGAATACTTTTATAGCAGAAACGTTACTTTTGGAAATCCATTTAGGTAAGTTTTCTATTTATTTTTTATTATGTACATAATTTACCTATATATTACATTTTTATGCCCATGTTTGAATATATGTAGCACACTATGTGAGGAGGATTTTAATGATGAATAATAGGTATTATTTTGTGTAGTTGTAGTATTTCTGTTTTCTTAATTATTATTTTATTTAATATTATATGAAGAGGAAATCTAGAAAGGTGCAGAAATCAAATGATAAGCTGAATAGCATTATAGTAACGTGTAGTTAAAATATTTCTGCTTTCTTAATTATCAATTTTTTTATTTAATAGGTATAAACGAAAATTTTAGAACATGCGGTAATAAGCTGAATATAGTATTATAGTAACTTATATGATTTTTTTTAATGCACTTACCCACTAAGAACAATAGCTACAGCGTCATTAAGAACACTTTCACCAAAAACTAAGGCATACAAGTTAACGTCTACATTCAAATCGTTAAAAATAGCTAAGATTGTCAAGGGATCAGTAGAAGAAATTAGTGCTCCAAAGTAAAGTGTGTCTAGAAATGTAAAACTATTTGCCAATCTGGGGGGCATTAGATGCACGCAACCATACATCAGTGCTCCAACAATAAAAGACGATACTGTAGTACCGATTATTGCAAATGTTAGTATTGCGCCCAGGTTACGAAAGAAATATTTCTGAAACAGCACAAGTTAATATTTTTAAGCATCATTATCATGTTAATTTATTATTTTTAATTATTTATACAATTAGCATTATTTCCTAGTTCATACATAATTTTTTTTTGAAAGAATTCATCAAATTCATATATTTTTGTATATTACAATCTTACCCTCTTTAAGGAATAACCAGCATGAAAGATAATAGGCGGTAAAATGATGTTAAAAAAAATTTCCGGATCGAATGTAGCTTTTAAATCTATCTCATTTTCTTGCGCCCCATCAATTTCATTACGAAATACATATTGAAAAGTCATGTTTTTATTTGAATACGGTTTGGGCATATGAAGAGATAGGGTATCAGGAGGTAGGCTGGAGTTATACTTGGATTCATCTACAAACACTTGCATATTCAATACTTGAGATGTGCTGCCTGAGTATCTTATGATAGCTCCCACTATAAGGCCTTAAAAGAAGAACAATTTTAAGTACACTAGCAAAAATTTAATATATCTGAAATTCAAGGTCAAATATTCATAGATTAAGTGGGCAGTGGAAGATTTTAGATATATATGTAGTGTTTAAAATATAATTACATACTAAAATAAGTTGAACTTACCATATATAACAGCAAGCCCTGTCTCATGTATAAAACTAAACCTACGATGTTTAAACAGCCAAATTGTAAGTACAGTTAATATAAGCAATAGGGTGTATGATAGCAAATTCAAGCTATCTATAATATGAGTAGATTGAGCTTTAGCATCAAGTTGAATATCTGAAGCAGCCCCATTCACGTTGTTTATAAAAATTTTGAATATAAGAGACACAATTATCAACACTTTTGTCATGTTGTATATTCTAGGTTAATTACATATATTAAAACGCTGATATATAAAAAATGGGCTTTTTTAAGGCGATGATTATATTTTAGAATTATTCACAATGCTATATATAGTTTTAATTTTATTAAAATATCTACTTCAACTACTTTTTGTTTATGGTTTCACTAGTTGACAACTACTGTCAAAGTCATATGATGCGTGTCTCTTTAAAAGCTTGAAGAGTGGAATTTGCCACATCTTTTGTAGTCTAAATAAAACATTTATTTGGTTAAGAATTAATTAATATATATTTTCAAAGATATCTAATATCACTTAATTTCAAAATAATCAGACAAACATTGAATTCTTGTGAATTTTTAATCAAATAAATTTAGTTTTTTTCCTTGTTAAATTGTCCTAAATTTATATTGATTAAGTCCATTGACTCTGTATATTGCAAAAACAGATAAGATAGCTTTACTTCAAAACATTCTCTCTGATTCACTGTTCAAATGTTTTTGGTATAGCTACCTGGTTTTTTTTTTCTTATTACAGGAAAAATAATAGTGCATTTTAAAAATAAAAAATATATTTTAATTCATAAATAATTTGAATTATTTCTTTTCTTAATACCTAGAATTGGAATTATATAAAAAAACTTAACATTGTAGAATATAATAAATATATACATTAATTTGAAAGTGATATACATCTAGAATTCATATAAAAAATATTATAATTTTAGGGGGTTAATTTGTACTACTCCTTCAGCCTTGCAGACATTCTTTGCGACTGAGCTTAATTTCGTAAAATTGTCTAAATTCTTCCCACTTGCCACTGTTTTTAGGTTTGCAGCAACACGTTGGGTAGCCTAAAACATTATTTAATTTATATAAATAAATTATTTTTTTCATATTTTCAATTGTTAAACGTACCTCTAGAGTCCAGGCTTCAGCCATCTGTCTCTCATGTTGGGCAGAGTCTGCACCAGTTCTAAGTGTAGAACTTGCCCTACTTAATACTACTGCGCTAGAGTAAATGTCAAATGTTGCGTTCGCTAGCCTATTGAGAATGAATTGTTCGTTTACTATGCTTTTTCCATATTTTATTAGGACCATTTCTATTGACTGTCCGAAGGAGTCTATGCTTTTTGCCAGCTCAGAAGCGGACTGTAACAGGTCCCTGTGCACATAGTGGTCCATGGAGGGTGGTGAGCCCAAACCAACTTTCCTTACAACCCTTTTGGAGGCCTCTTCGAAAATCAGTCCTAAATTGGCAGTAGGATTCTTGAAAGCGTTTTGAAGCTCTTTAAGATGGGCTCCAGCATACTGAATACCTAAAGTAAGTGTTTTTATTATTATTTTTTTGGTGAAATTTGTGAGTTGATTTTACCTGTTAGAGCAACAAATAATCTCAGGATATCATTTGTTCCTTCAAATATTCTGAATATTCTCAAGTCCCTCATGATTCTCTCAAGGCCAGTCTGTTTCATGAATCCCATTCCACCCATTATTTGAATAGCTTCATCACAAACAAACCAAGCTGCCTCAGAAGCAAAACACTAGAAAAAAATTATATTATTATTTTTTTCTTTATTTTGATTTATGCTTTTGAAGTGAAATTCGTTACGCGCGCTAAGATTAAAAATTTAAAGCTGTCTTCTATTTTCGAGTGTCAATTTAGGCAACCAATATTACTATAGTTACGAGTTGCGATTTGCGATCGTGATTTTGTAAACTAGGACGGTGATAACCTTCTATTTTTTTTTTTTTTTGAGGTTCAAGTTAACGTCTCCTTTCTGCTGCAATGGCTAAACTGGACGGGACCTACTTGTTTACGCGGAATCCGAACCGCGGTCCTCGGCCATATCATGGTCAAATGGCCTACCGACTTAGGAAGTGTCTAAATTAACTCTTACTCACGAGATATCCGATCTCATCCGGCCTTGAACCGGCGTGAATGAGCAGTGTGTATCAATAGATTTTACACTTTTCCCTTTTTGGACAACAGCATGATGCAAAGTTTCGAACCGGTCACCCGTCCATCCACTAGCATCGCCTTACGTCGCTTAACTTCGGTGTTCTAATGGGAACCGGTGTTTCGACGTAGCTGGGCCGTTGCCCGATAACCTTCTATCTGCGAGTTTTAATTTTTAGGAATTCCGATTTTGATGCGAATTTAGTTTTGTGGTCTTTTTTTATTTTACGCGTATACCTAAAACTTTGTTACACGTAAAAAAATATTTTTACGCCTTAATTTTTTTTTAAATTTTTACTTTTTCAAACATGTTCTTCAAATCCTTCAATTTAATAGCTGTTAGTAAGAAGTTTCAAATATATAGTGCACACACAATTTAAAAAAAAATACCTTGGATATGGCGGCTTCTAAATGGTAATGTTGCGAGCCAGTGTCCATGTTGCCAGAAATCATGTAGGCCATCGACTCAGTGACATACTGTAGCATTGCCATTCTGGCAATTTTTTCCTGGATTCCTCCAAAGTTTGTGATGATCTGGCCAAATTGTTTTCTTTGGTTTGCAAACTCGACAGCTTTTTTTATGCATGTCTTCATAGTGCCTGATAGGCAAGCAGCCATACCAAAACGTCCATTGTTTAGAATATTCATAGCTACTTTAAAACCATTGCCTACACCTCCCAGGACGTTTTCAATAGGAATTTTGACATTATCGTAATATACCTGTTGATTTTATAGTAATTAGATTTTTGTTATTTTTAAATAATTATATCAATTAATGCTTACTTCCGTTGTGTTGGAACATTTAATTCCCATTTTTTTCTCTGGTGGTCCATTGGAAACACCTCCAAAAGCTCTTTCCACAATAAAAGCTGTTACTTTATCAACAGTTTTCCCAGTCTTTGGGTCTTGGACAGGGGTCTGTGCAAAAACTGTCATAATTTCAGCCAGCCCACCATTACTAATCCATATTTTGGAACCATTTAGAATAAAATGTTTCCCATCAGGTGATAGCACAGCTTTAGTTCTAGAATACAATATTGTTTTTATTAATTAATTTAATAATTGTCAGAAAGTAATTAAAGTATACATACTTGATAGAGCCGGCATCAGATCCACTGGACGGTTCTGTCAGACAGAAGGCAGCAAATTCACGGTTAGATACTCTTGGTAAGTACTTAGCTTTTTGTTCAGGCGTGCCAAACAGAAGGATCCCTTTGAAACCAATTGACTGATGAGCACCAAGTGTTATACCAACGCCCAAGTCATTAGCACCGACAATTTCGACCAGTCTGGCATATTGTGTGTTTGACAGTCCCAAACCACCCAAATCTTGTGGTACTTGTAAAGCAAAGGCTCCCAAGTCCCATAGCCCATTCAACGAAGGTTCATCAACTTTTTCCAGTGTGTCGTTCTTGGTGGGGTCATTTACTTCATTAAAGAACTTCTCACAAGGGTCGATCAGCATTTGCAAGGTGTCTCTTTGTTCTTCATTCAAAACATTTGGATATGGAAATACTTGACGTCCCTCAACTTGACCCCTGAACAGGTTCATAACAAATGAATAATCTTCTTGTTGAGAAGGTTTTGCCCTAGGTTTTTCTGCTGTTTGTGGTTGGGCAGATGCAACTGCAGATATTTTAAGTGTCCTAAAATTGCATCAATAATATTATTGAAAAAAAAAGTTACATAAAACTGTCGTTAAAGATGACCCCATTTTTTTAATTTAAAGTATATTCTAATTAATTCAATTACCTTATTGGGATATTTTCACATTTTATTTGCTGCTGAACTACTACACGGACCACACGAAACATTTTGCACCTTTTGAATCGACTTTTTACTGCAATCGCCCGAATGATATTAAAGAAAATTTCTGATTAACAGCCGAAAACACAGTTTATGTAAATTAAAAATAGTAATACACTTTGAACTAGGTAATAGACTTTGACCCCATCAAAACAAAAATACTAAGTTCGAAAACAACTGTGCAAAAACAAATATTAGAGCCAATCTCTGGTTTCTAAATTGCCACGTGGTTGACGTGGTTATTTCGGCAGCCAATGACGGCAAGAAATATTTCGATCTTATTGATGCATTTAGTCACATTTAGCGCATTTAGCAAAGCATTTAGTTAACAATATTAACATGCAGTTAACTTCTGGTTAACTTACACTGTGTTCCCTGTTCCCCTAGTCTCTAGATGGCGCCACTCGTACAGAGCATGAATATCAAATACGTTATTGATGAATATAGTATTTTAAGATGTATTTTTAGCATAAATATCAGTAATGATTTTTTTATATATAATTATATTACATAAGTAAATCGTTAAAATTTTGTGTTAGTTACAGTTAACTATAAACAAATAGTCCAAATTCTCTTTAATTCGTGTTCTAACGAAGTATTTTTTTTTATTCATTTTTAAACATGTCTTATCGGGAAAGATAGGCAGAACCAAATTTTTAATTAGGAACAAAGTTATCAGTAATTTATAATTAAGAAATGTATCTGTTTGTGTATTTATTTCTTTATCTCATCATATTTTTTATAGGTTCAAAGAGAAATGAAACAATAATTATTATTTAGGGTACAAAATATATTGATATCATCACGGTATAACCTAGGATATACCGTGATATAATATATAAGTCTTGTGTTCTTATTTACTTTAAATAAATTTGTTTACAACGACAGGTACAAAATAACAAATAAAATTATCAAACATCAACAAATTACAGCGAATTAACGTATTCATCACAGTAATAGAAATTATAGGCTGTTATAAACATTGTATTTAATGCGCCTCTTCCTAACTGAATATGTCCGATTTGTCAACAAATATGGTGCGTACCTTTGAGCTAAAGGTCTATAAACCCAATGGTAAAGCATGTACTATGTTTTTCTTACAAAACCACTTGTTGGTGGTGGAGGTAAATTTGTACTTGCTGTCGCAGGGTATGTAGGGTCCATTCCCGTCTTTTTCTGGTATTTAGGCGATGATGGTGGACGTTCTATGGTCATAGTTTGTTGAGGAATTTTGTTATCTGTCTGGATGTCCATTGAAGAGTAAATTTCTTTCAGTATCATTAGAATCGTATCTTCAGATTCCCAGTAACACACATGACTAGTTAAAGCGAAAATATATTCGTTAAAAAACTCCAAGGGGGCTTCCTGTAATACATAGTCTATTCTTCTTCCATTATTCAGCTGCCCTAAGGGTATGTCAGTTTGCTCTTGGATAGGTTCTTGCTCACATTGGTCATCCTCTTCAGGCGTTGTTTCCAGTTGGTTTTGAATGTTCTTGCTCACCTCAGCTTCAAGGGCAGGTTGGTCTTGTTTATGGAACATTGCCAGCTGGTAAAACGAGTTCCATGTGCTCTTCATTGAGTCAAACACTTTTTGTTTCAAGTCAGCACCAACTCTAGCCATAGTTTCCTTCAATTCTGGAATCAAAGAGATAATTACATAACTGCAAACGAGAAAATTCACCTAAGTTTACCTAAATGCATTCTTTTACGGCCTTTGTGATGTGGGATGAGTACAGGCTTTAATTTTGCCAGTTCTGGGTTAATTAAAGCTTCAATTCTGTAAGCCACCGGGTCGTATGGATGGAAAATGTTGAAGAAGGTTGGACAAGTTGGTAAAGAGAAGTGTTCTCCAAGCTTGTCAAGTCCTCTAACGGTTACAAACATCCCTATAATAAATTTTGTATTTTATTTAAACTCATAATGTTATATTCAGCTGAATTTACCTATGGGGCTACCTAATGCAAAGAAGGCGTTTGGAAGAAATGAGAGATGTGGGTATGAAATTTTTACTTGTCCAGCTCCCACTGTTCCCATTAAGTAACTGATTCTCCTACATACTTTTTTGTCCGTGGTGGTTCCATTAGTTTCAGAAGAATTTCCTGAAAATACAAAAAAAAAAATTAAGAAAAATACGATAGTTTTGATGAAGTATGTACCTGTTAAATCATCACTCGGTTCCTCTGGCTCTGCTGGACGTTGATGTGCCAATAAATCAAAAAGAATTAGAGATCCTAAACTATGACCTCCTAAAGAAACTCCGCCAGAAAATGAAGGATTTCTCTGTTGAAATAAACTGTAAAGCCTATTGAGCTCGTCGCCAACAGTCGAAATTATGGTTTGGCAGTACAGAGGACTAGTATAAAATAGCACGTCTAGAATAGTATCGTTTGTAAAAGCCCTTAACCTTGGAATACTTTCCAAAGTAATATTTTTTAACTGTTCATCAACACCAGTTTCATCAGAGTGCAATTTTCCATGCCAGCTTACTGGAAGAACTTCAACCCTGTTAGCTATTCCTCGTTCGCAAGAAGATTTGTAATGGGATTGGAGGAGCTGTAAAGCGATGTTTCGAAATTCGTCCACTAAAAATAGAAATAAATAAATTTTTAGAGAGAAAAATAAAGAACTTAGATCATGGGAACATACCAACTTCCTCTACAGTTCTGAATTTTAAATCGCACACAGATCCTATACCGTGTACTATAAATAAAAGATGATCAACCTGGGTTGGTTCACCTTCATCTATGTCGAATTCATCCATTCCACGTTTGACTACCATAGGTCTGACTTGATTCTGTATATGACAAAAATAAATAAGTAATGTCCGAAAGTTTTGACTACCGATTTTAAAAATTCTTGTATAATTTTTTCTTTAATATATTTTTAATTTTTAGCTGTTTTCGCCGAAGACAATTATACACAAAAATTGAGAGATCAGAATAACAGAATAACTGGACTTAATGTAACATAAGAAGCCGTCAAGTATGTCTAAAGGTAAATTTAATATAAGATATTTCTCCAAAGATATATCATAGGTCTGACTTCATTTTGTATATGACAAAAAAAATAATTTCAATAAGTAATGTCTGAGATCACCAGCGGTGTTAAAATGGTTTAAATAAAATCCTTTGACTGGTGAATTTTTAAAAATTCATATATACATATACTTTTTTTAATATATTTTTAATTTTTAGCTATTTTCATCCAAGACAGTCATGTGTGAAACAGACAACAATTGAGAGATCTGAATAACAGAATATAATATCTGGAGTTAATGTAACAATAAGAAGCCATCAAGTATGTCTTAAGGTAAATTTAATATAAGATATTTTTCCCCAAAGATAATATTAATTTAAAGTAACTAAACATAAAACTGTAAATATCACAGCATTTATTTTATGGAGATTAGTAGTATTGATCAATAACAGTAGGTTTGTTAAGTATAAAATATTTGAGAAATACTTAAACTTCGCGAGTTACTTTCTAAAACGACTTATAAAAAATTCTTACAGGAGCATTTGCCCACGTGTCAGTGTTGTGGTTAGCCGGAAACAACACTAATGTATCAGGTCCATGAAAAACTACTTTTTCGCCATTGCCTACGTCTACTTCCTTATGCCATTGATTTGATTCGAAAGCTTGTTTAAATTCAGATTCTAATTTCGTAGCGATATTTTCGTCGTACGGAGTGTAACGTCTGTCGCCGTTGTTTTTATGAAACCATGAACACCTGCGCACTTCCGTCGTAGCTCCTTTCCAATACACCGGAGTTCTCTGTCTGCGCAGAATATTTACGTCGTAACGCCCACCGTCCGTTGCCAAGACTTTATCCGGATCCAAATCGTCTAAAATAATAGATTAATTAATTTATTATTAGCTCTATAAGTTTTAAAATCGCTAACTTGATGTGAACTCGTGCTCTAAAGCCAGGGAATCAACCATCGAAAACGGTATCCATATAGATTTGCCTTCAACTTCCTTTTTATAGAACCAATGGTGATAAACAGGCCTATAAATTTTACTCGTCTGTGCCTAAAATTTTAAAAAATAATCCTTATGAAAAAATACAAAAATAATATAAAATACTAAATACAGAGGTAGAGTTATGAACTTTAAAAAAATGAAAATTTTATGTACAGGGTGTCCCACTAAGAATAGCTCTCGGCTGTATCTCGGAAAGTAGTAGCCGTAGGGGTTGCGGAAAAAAATATTTATAACTAAAGAGGCTATGAGAAATTGCTGGAAATTATTTTCAAGTTTGTAGAACGACCGCTAGGGGGCGCAACTGCAACAAAAAATGAGAAAATGGAGTTTTTACACAATTTTGCCTAGATAGATTAGAGGTCATTGATATTTTGCTATAAACTGGCTAAATATTTTTGAATATTATTTTAATTTTTTTGTTCTTTGACATTGTAAACATTTATAAATGTTTATTTTAACAATAAGACTGACAATATTATTTATATAATGTTTTGTATTATCTTTTGTTTGTTTGTTTGTGTACCTTGTTTTTTTTCTACTTTGTTTGTTAGTTTACCTTTGTCTACAAATTGAAAAATTTTTTGACAATAAAGGCATTTATTTATTTATTTATTTATAAGGTGTACTATATGTAATAGCTTCATAATCTTCAGTAAATTTTGAATATTTTTTCATTTTAAAATCGACGAAATACCAGAATACCATATATACCACAGGTATTAATATCTAATAATTAAGATATTAATAATAGTGAACAAGAAACGATGATTCAGGGAAGTCAGGTAAGCTTTGGAAAAAAGTTGCTTTTGGCGTAATAGTATAAACGTCAAATTGTTATTAGATCAACATTTTGATAGTCTTATCAGCGTTTTTTATCTTTTGATTGCTTTTTCAAAATGTCAACAATTTCAACTATTTCAAATAGTAAAGGCATTTTGAAAAAGCAATTAAAAGATAAAAAAACCCTGATAAGACTATCAAAATGTTGATCTAATAACAATTTGACGTTTATACTATTACGCCAAAAGCAACTTTTTTCCAAAGCTTACCATGACTTCACTGAATCATCGTTTCTTGTTCACTGTTATTAATATCTTAATTATTAGATATTAATACCGTTGGTATTATGATATTCTGGTATTTCGTCGATTTTAAAATAAACTAACAGTTTCTATCTTATTATTTTGTTAGAATGGGCATAATTAAGAGGGCTACTGATACTGTGTTGTAAAAATAAGGTAATTAAGGGCGTATTTTTTGGTATTTATATAATTTTGCTAATATCTTCGGTTTGAAAGAAGATATCAAAATGCGGTTTTCGCTGACTTTTTAAGCTTTTACTACTTTTTACTATCAGCTAAAATTACATATACTATTGCATTTAATTTTTTTGAAAAAACGCGCAATGTTTGTTAAATTGTAAAACAACGCCCTCTAGCGTCTACGTTCAAAAGCTTATTATTATTGTTTATATGTTACAATATAGAGTAAGCAACGCTCTTTTAAACGAGCCCTCGCTTGTTGGATTCCGATCATCGAGTCCAGAGTTATTAATATTTAAATAAAAACAGATCTAACCTTCCCCACCACTTTTTTTTGGTAGATACGGGAAAATTGCTCTAACAAAAAATATTCAAAATTTACTGAAGATTGTGAAGCAATTACTTATAGTACACCTTATCTAGGCAAAATTGTGTAAAAACTCCATTTTCACATTTTTTGTTGCAGTTGGGCCCCCTAGCGGTCGTTCTACAAACTTGAAAATAATTTTCAGCAATTTCTCATAGCCCCTTTAGTTGTAAATATTTTTTTCCGTAAACCCTACGGTTAATGCTTTCCGAGATACAGCCGAGAGCTATTCTTAGTGGGACACCCGGTACTTCTCAAATATATAAATAGTTTTTAGGCAGAATGAACTGATTTATTGTATGCCGAGATATTTTACTTTGAAAATTAAAAAAAAAAATGATTTTCGCTTAAATTTTGAGAACCACTGGTATTTTTCTGGGTTTTCTTTCTTGTAAATTTAATCTACTCCATATGTTGCTGTATTATGAAGATATTATGTTTTTTAACTAAAAATTTAAAAAAAAATCCATTTTTTTAGACGTGTTTCTGGGATCGAAATATACTACCCCTAAAAGTGTTTGCACATATTTAAGACTCACCCTTGTATATATCGAAAAATAAGTTAAAATCTTACATTATTTGTGGGTCCTGCCACACTGGATCCAGGACCAAACCCATCAGGCTCTGTAGCGAGCATTTCACTAGCCGGTATAGCATCCATCACTGGACCTACTTGTCCTTGCAGAACGCTTTGAGAATGCTGTGGGAAAGGTATATTAGGCTTCACCTGCGGAAAGGAAGGAGGCTGTGGATTTATAGGCTTAAATTGGCTGTTAAGAGCCAAAGTAGCTTCTTGAATCGAAGATGTTGAACTCGCTGGTGAAATGGAAGGCTGGAAGTGCTGAACAGGTGGAGGTTGCTGTAAATTATATGGCTGAGGCGGTATTGGAGCTGAAACAGGTGTAGGTGGAAGGTTCGAGTTGTTAGTTAACCCAGGAACTTGCGCGTAAGCTGGTCGCTTCAACCCTGGTCGTCTGAAAGTGTTCACTGGACCTATAATTTGAAAGTAATACATACATTTTTTTTATATATTTTTAAATACCTGTATTTGCTGGTGGTACTTTAGAAGGTTCTTGAACAGGCTCCAATGGACTAGCAACGTTAAATAGAGGTACAGGAGGGGCGTTACTTTGTTCCTGACCAATCAGATGCTCCAAACCTGCCGGAGGTGGCACAGGAGACTCTATTTCTTGAGGTATCGGTTGTGATTGTGTAAATCCACTTCCAATTTTCAAGTAATTCGAAAATGACGATAATACGGAGCTTAAGTTCGAGGGTGCTTGATAATGTTCTTGGGGAGTGTCGAAAGAGATCTCTTGTTGGGCAGGAGGGGGTTGTTGAAAATAATTTGATATTGATGGTTGAACCTCTAAGGATTCTGTTGGGCTTAATACCGCCGCTGATATGTCAGTTCGTGGCTGGGTAGTTTCTTGCAAAATTTCCTCTGAAATTATCATAGTGTGTCAATTTAAAGTTTGTGGTAAAAATAAAAAGTATTTCGAAGTTTTCCTGATAAAATCAACAAACAACGGTATCAGTAAAATGAATATTTCTTTGCAAACATCCGACCTAGCCCATCGTTTTGTCATTTTTAAACTACAAAAAGCCTATACGTCTATGATTTTTCATATAGTCGTGTGCCAGATTTCGTAAATATATTTAAAAAAATATGTATCGATTTATTTTTATATATTTTATGTTTTCGCGTTCAGTTGAATCAATCGTGGTTAATAAAATTAGTGATAGTGCTGAAAATCATTTAGAATTGAACGGTAGTGATGTTGAATCGAAGAAAACCCTTAATTTTGGAGATAAAAAAATTACCATACTTGTGGAAGACGATTACGACAGTTTATATGGTGCTTTTAATATGGTGAAGCAAATTTCAGATAGTCCCAACTATAAACAAACGAATTTTTCTCTAATAACTTTTAATTCGTCTGGTAAATATATTATTAAATATATTCCAAAGAATAAATATTTCTTTTTAAGGTGTCTCTTTGGATGATGGTAAAAATCTCGATGTTATTGAAATTACCGACATTTTAAAAACCCGAGCCGATGAAAATAAACTTAAAAAAGGCCCATCTGGGTCACCGATATTTTTTGCGTTATTACAAACATCCCAAAGCGCATCCGAAAATAGCGCCATACTAATTTTCGTTAATAATTTCGATAAGTTAGACGCAACAATTGGGAAATATGCCTTAAAAAAATTACTTCATAAAAATATTACTGTAAGTATAAAAACAATGTTTTTATTTTTAAACTGACCAGTGTTTCTAGGTACATGCGTTAATTTACAATGAGGAATCTGTGGGATACGAAATTTTGAAAGATATTGTAGTCTCTACTGGAGGTAGAATTTTAAAAACATCGGAATATCAAAATAAAGGTAAAAAGGGATTAGATTAAAACAAATCTTGCTCTAAAATTCGGAAATGTTCATGGTTCTTTGTACTTATAGCACCTAATTCAGTGTTTTATTAATCTATATAAAATAATCATAACTAATACTTACAGATTCTAACAAAATTACACTATAAAAACTAATTCTGCCACTTTTACTGGAAACTTTCAACCTAAATATTCACAATCGTTTGCCTTTGGTTTAAATAAATCAATAATAAATATATTAGACTTTGTACATATAGTCGATAATATATGCGTCATTAAAACAAGTGATGTAAAACTGAGTCTTTAGAAAAATGCTTGACCTTGCTGGTCCATGTTTCGTTTTCCTTCACATAACAATATTTGTATCTGTCTTGTTTGTCGGCTTTTATCAATCTATTTACTTGCAGCCAGTATATTTAGGCATTTTCGGCAGTGACGCACTATCTAGACCAAAAAATTTATGAAACGCGTGGATTAATTAGACATTGAAATTACCTACAAGTTAAAAATAGTTTTTCGCATCTCTTTAAATTCGTCTCAGAGTTAACTCGCGCACTCAAACTGACTAATTATTTGTTAAATTACTTCCTCTGTAATTTTACTCGCTCAGTATAGTTTATTTCAATATAATAATTACATCAGAGATAGATAAAAATGATGAATATTGCAGTATATGACACACAGAGTCGTGCATTTTTTTCTAGACGAAACGGAAATGGATTTAAATTATTTGGACATGATGAAATTGGGCGGTAATATGTACATAACAAATATAGATAATGACAGGAACGCTAAGATAGTATTGAGCAATTTACCTTACAAGTTTAACAACTCCGCAGAAATTTATGTCAATGAACTAGATAACGCTTACGCTGGAAATACTGTAATTAATCATGAATTAATACAGCCTAACCAAAATATTGTTAATACAATTAATGGGGGTTTTAAAGGTAGATGTTTAATATAAGGTCTTATATTTTTATTTTACATCGTTATTTTTTTAGAAAATATTGTTAGTAATATTTTTGGTTACAAAACTAGCGACATCTATCCAACACAGACGTTAAAAATTGAGGTAGGATTAGGATCAGAGTTAATAACATTACCTGCCAAACAATCAGAAGTGTATTTCAAAATCACCAACACCGGAAGCTCAGTACAATACGTCAATTTTTTCTGCAGCGACACCAAATACATTCTTCTGCGCCTCTCAGAATACAAGTAATTGATTAATTAACTTAATGAACCATCAATTAATTTGTTTGTAAAATTTAGGCGTCAGTTACAGCCACAAGAAAGCACCACTGTCACCCTCTATTTAAGCACAAAAATAGGAACCTACCAGGATGAGATAGTTTTCTCGGCAAAAAGCGGATCGCAAGTTTACCAAAAGAGGATTCTTGTGAACGTAGGATCACAAATATCCGACCAGAATCCTCCTGAGTTAAATTACAGATACACAAGCGACTGTACAGGAGTGTTATTTTCGGAGTGCAACAAAGGGATGTGGAGTGTAGAGATATCAGCTAGGGATCCTGAATCTGGTGAATTGATATACCCTTAACTACCATATTCAGCAACTAACATTTAAATTAAATCTTTAGGTTTATTGAACTTAAACTCATCACCTGAAGGGCTATATTTTTCAACCCAGTATACTTCTGGCACAAAAGAAACTGTTACTGGTTACTACAGCGAGTCTTGTTGTAATCCAGACCTTTATGTAGTTGCTGTAGATCGCATGAACAATCGCAAAAGTTACAGTCTAAATGCATACAGTATGTTTTCAAAAAAAAATCATTTTAGGCACAATATTATGTTTTTTTTTCTTTTTAAGATACCTTGTGGAGTGCTGGAGCAATAGCAGCCTTAGTTTTGGGAATAATATTCTTTTTAATTATAGTGGGAGTGGCTACATATTTTATTGTAATGAGAGTAAAGAGCAAAGACTCTTATGATTTACCTAGATACAGAGGAGGAAACATTTGACAATTAATGAGAAACATTATTAATGAACAAAATATGTTACACATTTGGTCCACCTTATCTATCACATCTAGCAGTACTTCATCATAGTGATGTTGCTATTTAGTTATTAAAGTAGTTCTTAAGGATTTCTGTTATGTTAAGAGCGTTATATAGATTAAAATACATAAAGAATAGCATACCATGTTTAATGTTTAGTATAGGCGGAGGTGGTTTTTCCATAGCAGGAAGTAAGACAGCATTTTGAGAGAAATCATCCAGTGTACTTCCGGTAACAGCAGGATTAAAAAGTGTATTTTTTACTAGTTTTCTGTTATCTGTCATCGTACCTATTTAAAAGTAATTATATTGAGAACACTACATTTATTTAGCGAAAACAGCTGTTTACTATTGAACATGGAATGAAATATCACATATGTCAAATAAGTTCCCTCCGTCAATGACTAAAGAATGTTTTCTTTAGTCATTGCTTTCCATAGTTCTCAGTTACAAGATAGATTGTATAGATGGCGTAAGTAAAACAAGTATGTATAAGTAGTTGCATAATATTCCCAAACTGTTTTTTATATTATTTGTAATTTAAAAATTGTGTTAAAATATGGGATATTACAAGAACTGTATTATTTTATACAGGGTGATTCTTGCAGTAAAGTCAGTAAATTAAAGATATTTTTGTTTTTTGAAATATATTCTACTCTGTTAAATGCTCTAAACGAATTTCAGTTAGTTTTGGGGTATTTTCAGTTAGTAAATGGACATTTTAAGTATAATATACATATTATTAATTGTTTTAAGTTAGAGAAAAAACATTTTGTGTATAATAGGAATGATCAGCAAATGTAATTCTGCCAGGAGCTCTGTTTTAAATTAAACTCATATGGACATAAATATTTTTGTATCGATAAGGTGCTAGGAAATGCAATAATGCGTATATCTCCAGCTTGGTTGACTTGTAAAGCGTTGTTTAATTCCACAGAATTGTAAAGGGGCTTTCCAAAATTACCCTGGCTTGTTGTCGTAAACACGTTAGTTTGCCTCTGTCCAGTTATTGGATTTACAGTTGAACATCTCGCCTTTGCCAGTATACACGATGTAATGTTCTTGTAAAGGATCACCTGATCGGCTTGTAATTCTGCGGAATTATCTATAGAGGCTTCCGAGTAACATTCGGCCACCTAGGAATTTTAGACAATAACAATTCGTGTTGAGTCAGATAGATTTGCGTATTACATATTACAATTTATGTATTACTAAATGTTTTAACGATATCAAACAAACAACAAAGAAAACTTCGTTTATGAAACAGTATTATGTAAGGAAATTATTTAGCGAATAGCAAAATTTGTTGCTTATCTACGACACGGACCATTGAGTGTGTGTTCCAGTTTCTCAAGCTTATCTCGATAATATTTTCTAAGAAATTTACAGAATAAAAATTAACTATTTTTGCTACACGTGCTGTTTTAATATTGTATTGTACGTAGGTGATTCATTAATAAATATATAACAAACCAATATGTCAGCATTTATTCTTCTAATACATCTGATAAGTCTACAATAACCAGTTACACATTGCCCAGTCTGAGTAGCTGTTGCATCCTAAAAAGTAAATTTATATTTATAATAATAAATAATCTATGATATAATACTAGTGGCATGCTTGCTTGGGAATTCTCGATTTATGTAAGCTTAAAAACTTGTCGAAAGAGGACATTTTTATCTGAAATAAGAACCAATATTTACTTTCTGATAGTTATGGATTTAATGCTGATTGTTGATATTAATAAATAATAAATTTTGCCATGCCAGTTTTATTTTTAAATAAATCCTACCCTTTTTAACAGAATTTTTTACTGAATTCGACTTTTGTTTTTATCATTCCCACTCTTAATATAATATGTTTATTGATTGTTATTATTTATTCATCAAGGCAATATCGAAAAAATACCATTAATATCTACGTGTTTTGACTGAATCATAGTTTTGTCCTTACATAAAATTTGTCTTACATTTATTAAACCCGCGCATTCTTCGTATCTTGTGTCTGCAAAATAAATATCTGAATATAAGGAAAGCAAAGTTAGAGATGGTTGATTTCCTGTCGCTCTAGAAGCTTCCAAAAAATTTCTTCGGCAGTTAGTTTGGTCATCCACTTGCGAACACGCGTACGACAGTAAATTTGAAAGCTGCAACCTTAATTATTTTTGTGTCAAACATGATTTGTGTTTTATTAATTATATTTACGTATTTTCTTCGCAGTTCTCCTTGGCTCGATTTTTACATCCTATAGAAATGACTACCTAAAAACAAGTGTCGAGGAAATTTTCCTTCATAAACACTGTAATTATTTATTTAGAATTAAATTATTTGATAAGGTTCTCAGGAATTACCCGATTTCATAATATGTTTGACTCACAAAATAATTTTGCAAAAACAAATTGATTTGTGTGAACCCTTTCTGAAACTTAATACGTAGGTATTGAATTGAGGAAAATGGAAAATAGAAAAACAAATATCTACTTTGAGTTAAATCATTTTATGGTGTGATAAGAATTCTAGGGATTCCCAGAGTTTTTCGTTTTTCTCTTATACGGGATTTTTTTTGTTTGTTCACTCCAAAATTCATGCTGTGGTATTTTTGTATAACAGATAAGTCGAATTATTAAACCTGTGTGACGAGAATCAAATAAGTTATTGCGTAATGTTAGAATATAATGCGTTGTATTAGAAAAAGAATAAGCAAAATATTGACATAGGATCTTACCTGAACTAAAGCGAACAACTTGATACAAGACCACGTAAATTTAAACATATTTCGTCTAGTTTTGTTGACAAGTTAAATATAGAATTTCACCTTTTATGATTCAGCATGCGTACATATTATTTTAAAAAATAAAATAAATTGTTTTTAGAGCTGCGTATACACAATAAAAAGCATCATTTTTAATTAAAAACAATGCATTGCCAAACACAAAGTAATTTTTGTAATAATAGTTTCAAAATATCCTGCCACCGTTTCAATATATTCCACATCAGTTCATAACTCTGTATTATTAAATTAATAAACCATATATTTATTTATCAGAAAAATAGCTGTGTGCTAATAATAAAAATAAATATAGGATATACTTTTTAAATGTTAAAAATGAAATATTTCGAATTATTGCACACCGTTTTAAACTACTATTAAATAATTATGAAACCTAAATTGTTATTAATAAAAAATAATCATAGTTTTAGGTTCATCTAATCTGGATTAATGTAAAATGTAATTTTTCCTCTTCTGATCCGCTAGAGTATTTGATATGTAAACATATTTTAATTACATAAGTCTATTGACGTTAGAATTTTGTGCGATAATAGACTAATTGAAGAGAGAAAAAATACATCCGGAAATTAAACAAATATTTTGATATTTCTCACTTGTTCTACTTAACTAATAGTAAATACGCAAAAAATATAAAATAAGACGCAAACAATTAGATGTCCGGTAAGCTGAATAAAGTGCTTTGTTTTTGAGTTTTTAACATCGCAGAATCATTTTGATAAACACTCTAAAATAGTTTCATTTTTTATACTACTTTTCTTCAAAATAACATTTCCCGCAAACTTATTCACTGTTTTTTCCTTAGTTTGCCGTGACGTATCTATTTTTAATGAGTAAATTTGATCGTAGGTAGGCCAGGTTGCCAATTCGATGCAGTATACGAAAAATTTGCTGTGGAATTGACTGCATACACGTGTCACGGAACAATGTTATTAGGAAAGGACAAAATTCTTTTTGAACTTTTTTGGCTACACCTTAAGAAAACGTGGCCACAAATTTAGACAGGAATGCTTAAAAGATTACTTTGTAGCATTAGGATGTTAAAGAATGTGAGTGCTTAAGATTGCATTTAATTTTAAATACATATTTTAAAATCTATTCTAAGGTAAATCAGAACCTTCCTCTAGAAGATGCAAGACCTTGTCGTTGGTGGGGAAGCTCTTAGTCATGTGCTAGGGGAAATCCCTTCTGGAACTTTGGCTGGGTCTAAGGAACACATCATTGTCTTGTCCCTGGCTGTAGTGTCGTTTCCAGGGAACTGCTCCAAGACGTATAACGTTGCCGGATGGGGCTACCCTGTCCGTCATACTTCCCCGTGCGGCTACCCTCCAAGTACCTGCGGGGCGACAAAAAATTGTTATAAAGGCGGTGAACGGATTCTGTAGGGGCGGCAAACCTCCCTCCTAGAGGCTCTCCGCTCCGGACGCCCCTAACCCACGCTACGCCACTGTTCCGAGAGGAGACAACCTCAACAAAAACTTAAATCGTATGATGGCGGGATCAGGTTAAGGGATGCGAGGCTAGATAGAAGATTAGCGTCGACTGATCTCAATTTTGGGGCACCACACAGCAGCAAGATCCCCATGTATGATGAGTTATAACTCACGAAAGGGAGACACAGTCGATCTTTAAGGTCGCGGTGATTACCCCCCCTTCCACTCATTCTACATTCTAAATCAGAACGCAGGAACCTAAAAAATCAATTTTCAAAGTAAATATTATTGAAGCAAACTCGATATGTTATGCCATCGTTGTGTATTCATTTATTTAAATTATCGGGCCATTTTTGTTTGTTCTTTAAACCCTGGTAAATACCGTATGTATGATCGTGAGTAAATGTAATTAAGTTTTCATGAAAAGTGTACTATATATATATTGATTTTCCGAGAAGAGGAAAATCCAGTTGAATCAGAAGAATAGCACATTTTTCTGTATTTTAAAATAATCCGAATTATTGTATGAGACGACAGAACTTTCCCGTAACCTGGCAACGTTGCTTATCGACTGTGACATACGTTGTTTAATACACGCGTTGCGACCATGACCATCTCAACGTTACACAATACCTAATTCTAGATTTTAGGCGGAGAGAGATGGGTGATAATCATCATTTTGTATTTCGTGTGTCCAAAATGCGCTTCTCAAGTATAATCTGTCGTGGGAGGGCTCTACAAATTCGTTTCTAAAATATTAATGATATTTCATATACGTAGCTTAGTTCAGATAGGTGTATTTTCGGATTTTCATTCGAATGATATCAGAAAATAATAATAACAGCCTTGGAATTCGATTATTTTCAACGGAATATTGTTATTTATGTTTTTCGACTTTTGCAAAATTGTTTTCGGCGCGCTAATTTTAGATTTTTATGAATTTATTTCTTTGTCTCGATAGCAAGATAGCACCGTTATCAGATATTGCTGTATTTTTATGGAAAAACCTATGCTCAAAGAGTTAGACGCAGTATTATTGAATTTTCTCTGTATTTTAAAAGGAAAACATTACTTTTTTATTTTGGAAAATCATTATTTGATAAGTATTCAAGACGTTTTTAATATTATGTGACTCAACTTACAAACCTCTTACATATCAGCTTTATACCATGAATCAGCCTATGATTTATCAAGTTTGCACGCAGTTTTATTAAAGTTATATGGCATTAAAACAGTTTAAAATAATATTTTTCGTGTAGTAAATAACGCGCGCAAATGCTTTTGTATGAAGATAGAAAATATTTTGGTCAGTGTTTACTGCATTTGAAAGTGTCATTCGAAATTAAAATTCAATATCTTTGTTATTTGAATTGTTGTTTTCACGTTTAATGCGATTGTTTGAAATACGTAATCATATTTGCTACATCGTTTTGCATCACAACATGATTTTTTTTTGTAAAAATCGTGGATTATCTCATTTATTAAGTACTAACACTCAGTCATGTTGATAAATTATTATAAAAATGAATGGTGATTCAACATGTTAATTTAAATTTCATTGTTTCAAGGTATTACTTTATTTTGCAATTTTATTGTTGGTTATTTAATATAAACTACAATATATTATGTATGTCGATAAACTTGGAATTAGATTATCCATCGATTTTAACCAAAATTGGTTATTTTGTGGCGTGAAATGCAATTACAAAAATAGATTGATACACTAATAATATTTTCCATATTTCCCGCAGCTCTTGGCAAACAGAATCCCTTTATTTGGCTGTTGCAGCCGGACTATGGGACTCTCTGATGCAACGTGTTTTCCTTAAATTGCGCTTAAATCATGTTTGTTTTTTAGCAACAACATCTAATCTATGTTTTATTTGAACGGACGATGATATATTATCATCGGTAAGTTTGTAAATGAATCTTCGAAAGCGATTATTTTATTTGTTAATGAATTTATGATAAGAGACCCGATGAGTAACGATTCAGTAAATAAAACAACAAACATAAAAACGATGAAAATATTTATTTAAATATAATTAGGATACATTAAAACGGTAATATGAAAATATATTGATATTTTCTGTAAGGGATGAAAATTCTGCAGGCTAGATAGATCATAAAGATACTTTTAAAGAGTAATAATAATAAAAAAACAAACAACAATGCCGAGGTAAATGTTTCTCTCTCTAAGTCTTGATTGGTTTATACAAACATAATAATCTGATAATTTTTATATTCCAGTATTGTACTGGCAAGTAACAAAAATACATACATTTTTTATACATAAATAATCTATAGGATAAATAGTTACAAAAAATCACACATACTTTATATCGGCTAGTTATCAATAAAGGTACGTTAAATTCCCTAACAATAATTGATAACAGATAGTAGGGCAAAATCAGATGTGATGATATAAACGTACACATAATATATACGCGGACATAATAAGATAGATAAAGTAGGAATTAAGTCATAACTAGTAAAAGCCATAATACATACATTATCTTTAAAGTAAGAAAAAAACGTTTTGTATAAAACTACAAAAAAACTATGATTATTAACGTGTCGGACAGACAGTTTTTGTCGAGTCATCAGAGATAGACTGGCAAATAAGAGTAAAAAAACAATAGGCATCCCGCAAGATATTTGTGCACACTTCGTCCACTCCATAGTCCTTCCTTATCTAATAAATAAATACTTATCACTAGAATAAATAGCCCCTAGGGGCGCAATCACAGAGCCTAATGGCGACGAGCCTCCTTCTCCTTCATCATCGACTTGAGTTGTTCCACCTCGGTGGTCAACCGCACAATTTCCGAATGCAGTGGATGGTGTGTCTTGGGTTCTTGGGGGTTTTGCGAGCCCTTCTGGAGCGACTGCAGGGTAGCGGCGGCTTGAGTCGCGCTCCACTCCGCGCCCATCGAGATTCCCGAGTCCCTTTCGTCCGAAGAACCCTCCGCGTCCCACGGTGGACTAGCCCTGGCAGGCTCCTGTTTGATGTTGTGAAGGGCCAGAAGGGCTGTGGCGGCGTCCTTGTCGCCCAGGTGAGATTTGTGGCGGAGTTTCAAAGGTAAACTGTTGTTGGCTTCGTTAGAAACGGCTTGCATAGGAGGACCCTCATCCCCGGATGTGCTGGATAGCTCAAAGGGTGAGGGTGAGCTTCTGGGTCTCCTGGCGCAGAGGTTCAGCGCTCCTGGTGACGGATGTCTGTAAGGCATGGAGTAGGAAGGGTGGTATTCTGGGTGTTGCCTGAAGGCGGGCTCGATAGGAACCATCGGTGGGGCATGTGGTTGGGCCACCATAGGCTGGTGTATCACCGGTGTGGGAACGGAGTTCTGCGTAGTGAATAGCGCCGGAGATGTGGCTGGATGTGAGATTTTCTGGCGCTTGGTCAGGCTTAGCACCTGTTCGTTGGTAGGGAGATTAGCCAGGACCTTTTCAGCACAGACAACGTTCTCTCCACAAATACCATACTCCTCACGGATTGCTTCTAATTGGGCCTTAAGAATAGCGTTTTCCTTGGTGAGCTCCACAACCCTTTGTTCCAGAACCATGTCATTGAATCTGCGTTTTTCACGAGACCTCTTAGCAGCCTCGTTGTTTCTTCTTCTTCTGTCCCAATAGTTGTCATCTTTTTTGTTGTCGGGCGTGAATTCTCGCTGCTTGCGCTGCGAGAACAGGTCCTTGTGTTTGACGGAGGGGATGGCGTAGTGCTCCGCTCCGGGGGTGGTTGAAGTCGGCAGCATTTCTCTTGTATGTCCGTTGGGTAGACCGGAGTTCAACTGTGGTACTTCGCCGTTTACCGGAGAACCACTCTGTCCACGTCCAACAAATTCGGCAACCATTATATGTTGCTTTAGCACATCTGAAAAGAAAGAAATCACCATTAGTACTGACCGTTACTATATGGAAGAACTAATTGTGATGTAATCGCACAGGTCAATAGACCTCCTCGCTTCAGCTATTGCGAGTCAACAGTTTTGGCCCAAACAAATAATATTGTGAGGCCCGCGGAATTTTTGGCAGAACAATGCTCCGACATCTCTACGTATTAATTTATACGTCACAGCCGATACTTCACAACGTACAGGAAAAAAAAGCTATCAGTCAAGCTTGTTACATCCCAATAAAAAATAAATCGTATTATTACATTCTATATTTTTATAAACTTGTTATATATTTTTGACCAAATGTTTCTTTAAAATGTCCTAAGGCATAACAGTGATTTCATTTTTTTATTAACGATTCTATTAATACCGTATTGACGTAAACATGAAAATGAAGTAAACAAAATTGCAAGCTTTATTAGGAATCGCATTTTTAATATGTAAGAGAAACCCAATTGAGTCAAAGTACACGTAATAATGTTTTTCTAGTATCTCCAAGCTGGCCTATTATCTCATTAAGTCGCCAAACGGAATAACAACGGGCAACGTGAATTCAGTCACGTGGCATAGAATCTGCACCCTTTTCAAACAACGTTTTTACCTAATTATAATAAGTTCTTCAGTTCGATGCGTTATTAGTAAGATTTATATAATGCGCATTAGGCTTCACGTAAAAATAGAATACTTAGAATATGACGCTCCCTAAATGATTTGGCTAAAAACCGCCCGTCGTTTCAGTGAAAGAAGCGCTTTACCAAAAATCGCGCTCTTTAGGAATCGGCGTGTTTCACGGAAAAATATGTCCGCTGGAGTGAAACGTAGTAGCGCTTCGTATAATCACCTTTGTAAAATCACGTGGCAAACAATCATTCTATTACTAAGCACGCCATACCGGTGTTATTCAGTAAGTTCTTCATCCCATCACAAATTCCAAAACTATTATTGATTAGATTGAAAAATAAAGAAAATATTTATTAATTTTATCCAAATTTTTTTATGCTGTCACAACAGATATCGGTATGTTAAATCGATATTTAACACATATCGTTAAATATCGGAAATTTTTTAATTGGCACGTTTGTGCTTAATTTTCGTAGTTTTCCACAAAATATAATTTGATAACTATAAATAAATCTACACAAATACAAATAGGCTAAATTGAAAATATTTTGTAATAAAAACATAGTTCAAAATTAAGTCTGTTTTCCTAGCCACGTAAATCGCAGTAACATGTCTAATCAACCTACGCTTTTATATATATGTAATAATATAGTCAAAAATAGTGAAATTTATTGTGACGCAAAAAATATACCGGGTGGTGCATCGTCGTTGGAAACATAGGAAATCCCATGCAAATTTTGTCTTGTCCAAATATCGTATCCACTATTAATTCTACGGCTAAGTCGTAAACAGGTTTTTTTAAGGTCTGCGTATCCTGAATACACATGCCAAATTGGAACAATTTTGGACAAGCTGATTTTAAGTAATTTAAGAAAAACTGCATCTATTTTTAAATTAAAACTGAACGGGTAACTATGCGATTTTTCTTAAGTTACTAATCGGCTTCTCCAAAATTATTCAAATTTGGCATATGTATTCAGAATACGCAGACCTTTTAAAAACCAATTTACAAGTTCGCTGTAAAATGAACAGGAGAGCTAATATCTGGACAGTTCAAAATTTACATGCGATTTCCTATGTTGCCAATGTCGCGGCGATGCACCACCCGGTAATATAACGCATAGACCTAACTATGTATGAGGTTTTAAAAAAAATAATTATAATTATTAGCTCATGTCTAACCTTATTTCCTTTTTTAGATTTAGTCCAATTCACTCAATAACCACCGCCTTAGTTGACGAAAATAGGAATTAGCATTAAATATTGAAAGATATGTGTGACGTGGGCTTGGAACTTAACGGGAACTGCCGAAAAAGAGCAAGAGAATCAAACGTGAAAAGGAAAAAAGAGAAAAAACAACGGTTTTTATCCGATCGGGCATCATTCAAAAGAAGGTATTTAGTAGGTCAGAACATATTCAATCGGCTAGGTAAATAATGGGCAACAAAAAGAACCGTGAATAATCAAATGGGTATTGGAGATTACGGCATCGGCGAACTAAAAAACCACTTAAACGTAAAGCAGAAATGGTGTCAAAGCCTCGCTTATGTCATATCATAACGGACAATCGATACCAGCCGTCAGTCCCTGATATTAAAACCACTAATAATTTACTGTACGAACGATGTTTAGCTCACTCCCACACATTCTACACTATATTCTAAAATAATCAAATGACAACAAAGAGAAATTTCTCTAATTATAATATCTATATGGTCACAGGAAATTAACTCTATCATTGCTAAATTCAGTTAAAACAAACCAGAATAAGTTGAATTGCTATATTTTTTGTAATAACTGAAATTTTATCCTTAATAACTTTTATATCTATTTTAATTGGTAATATTTGTATATATTCTGTATATTGTAAGATTTCGGAGGGAACACCAGAATAAGACAGGATAACATATTAAATAACTTAGTTGAACATGTAATATACATACATCTGACGTCACAGTGTTTGTATTGTATATAGGTCTGTATATTTCAAATTATCGATGTATGTCTGAAGATCATTATGATTTTAGCTGTATAATTATATTATTTGTTATTGTAATGAAGTCAGTACAGGAATAAAGACTAATGAAGTATTAAGTAACTCGGTAGAATGTTTATACATACATTGGACGCCACATGGTACTTAGATCTGTATATTTGAAGATATCGATGTATATCCGAAGATTATTATGTATTTAGCAGGATAATTATGTGATTTGTTATTGTAATTGAGTAAATGCAAGAATAAAGCGTAATGAAATATTAAATAACTCAGTGTAATGTATATGCGTCCACCGGACGTCATAATATTGACTATTTTAATTAGTAGCACTGTATATTTCAAGATTTCGATGTATATCTCAATATTATTGGTGTTTTAGGATCAGGTGATTGTCTGGAAATATCTGTCGAATAGTTAAACGAGAAAAAGATATGATGTCGCATTATTTGTTGTGCTTCGACATTACGCAATACGTTTGTGGTTTCCGTGGCGAAAAGCGCGGCAAATATTTTCGAAAGGTTGTTGCCATTGTAGTGCGCATTTCGAAAAAACCAAACTGGATCAAGTAGGTGCGTTGTGGTGCGTTGCCAGTTCGTCGTCGCCAGACAAGCGCGGTATTTCCGATGAAGTGCCCCGTGAATCATGTTATTTCTGAGGAATCATAACAACGGAAATAGAATAATAGATACGAACAAAAAACGTTTCGTAATTCAACCTAGAATAACTCGTCCTTTTTTCAAATTACATCAAATTAAAACCAAGCGGTGAGGATGTAAAATTTCAAAATGAAAAAGAAATATTGCGACATTAAATTAGCCTAGCGAGTGATGTATAGGAACTAGATCAAAGAAGCACAGGTAAATGTTATTTTTCGCGTGAGATTTAAACTAAACGCAAACGACTGTCTGTGCTTCTGCAATTGATTTAGGTATCCTAGTTTCGTATATTTTCAAATCTAGGCTAGTGGAACACCACGTCGAACGACCTACAACAGTAAAAACCGCAGTTATAACTTCGAAGAGATCCGTATCGTTACATAATAAATATTTAGTTGCACAACTGGCTTCATTGTTTACAAAATTTTTCGGTGAGGCGGTTTCAAGACCCAATAAATAATTTTCTCTGAAATCGCCTCATTATTTGTTTGAATACAATTCTTCTATTTAAATATTATGTTCCGTCAATTTACGAAAACAATTACGAAATCTTATTAAAACAAGGTTTAAAGTTTAACGCTATATCTGGTTGTGATGATTTAATCGGATTTGATATTACTCATTATCATTAACGGTATATGATGTTTCAGACAATGGAAGTTTATTAAAATAAAAACCTCTCTATTGCATCATTTACCAGTAATGTAAGTGAGTATTTTTTTATTAACTGTACACGCTCGGAATCTTATGCTAATTCAATATTTATTTAGGACAGCTAAATTTTTTAAGGTTCAATTCGCGTAAAAAAAGTGGAGCAACCGCTTAACTGTTTGCCTGTCATTAGTAGAGCATGTCTGTCAAGTAATTTGTAAATCCAATACATTATAAAAAAAATAAAAACAATAATGCGTATTTTTCAAAAATCAACTCACCAATTGTATTATATGTGTTTGAAGGGCGGGAGGACCCGCTGAAAAAAAGTCCAGGGAAAGTCACGGTTTCAAAACGTTTGAACGAAAATTGCAAACAAAAACAATAGTTTTGCGCGGTTGAATATTTTCACGACAGGTACAGCAACCAATTACTGAAACGAATACGCATCGACTGACTTCAGCCGCACTCGCAAGCTGATTGAGACGATATTTCGCGCCGCGCCGAGAACCAATAGTAGCGGATGGAAGCCGTGTTGCCAAATGTCGGACTAGTCTGGGTCCTACGGCTTTATAATCGCGGCGCGTGTTTATTGTTATGCGATGCACTTTAATGATTTGTTTGTCGAAGCACGGCCAGACAAAGCGCTATTTAATTTGGATCATTTCTGATACGTCTGGATTCTGTTTTGATTATTTCGCAATGCTAAACATGCTAGAATGTCATAGCGGTATCTGATCTTATCAATTTACCACACTTCGCAGCACAAAAACTGCCAAAAATTAATCTTAGTCTAGAATAAATACCCGGTCATATTCGTGGAATGTTATGTGTCTTAAATTCCAATCATCATCCTCAAATGTCAATATTCTTCTACAGTGTACAGACATATATACAAGACTACTGAACTTAAAACAGACACCATGTATATGTTACATTGTGCTATCGACTTATTTAATATTGAATCATGTCTTATTCTTATATACACTTCAATAAAATAACTAACAAGATAGTTATTAAGCTAAAACATCAATAATTTTGCAATATATATCGAAATCTTAGAGCATAAAGATGTATACCGAACGCCGTGTCTTAAAAAAGATAGCAATGTTACGTCCGGTATTTGTGTATATGTTCTATTATTTAATTTTTCCGCATGACATATTTTTTATCCACTGAAATGCCGATAATTTTTGAATATACATCAAAATCTTACGGTATACGGACATATATACAACGCGACTTCTTAAAAGACAGCAAAGTGACGTCCGATGTATAAGATGGTCATTTGAGTTAGAATTAATATTTTTTATGTTATATTTTTTATTTTAGTTCTTTTGATAGAGAAATTTTATATATGCATCTAAATATGATTAAAATATTAAGACAGATGACCATATGACTTCCATATATCTGCAATCAACTGTATATATCTAATGCGACGAAATAGATAATGACAATCAAGATTTCCATTGTGGCATAACCAAATACTTTTGTCTCATTGTAATTTTATTTATCACTAAACAATATTTGAGAAATTTGACATCTAGATTGATACAATTTAAGCAGGTCATAAGATTACTCATCATCGAATTCAATTGTATCGAAATATCAACCTGCGTTGTGCAATCCACGCCAATAAAATTGACAAAGGAATTAGAACAAAAATAGTTTAGCAAAATTATATTGCAAGCAAGATTAAAATACTATATTTTTAAAGAAATAGATATGTAGGTAAATATTATTTTATAACGCAATGCTTTTTTGTTAAGTCGTACTCGCTCAAAACAAAACTAATTACGGTCCCATCACTATTTATAAAGAAATAAACAAATTACATTGCGTTTTGTATTAGAACAATTCGAGGTACGCATATTATTTTACTGTGTGACGATTTTTGAAGCATTGCCAACACGAAACAATAAAGTCTTAGCGACATAAAAACCATTGTTATATAAGTTTCTTTAGCTAAGAATAAAATTAATGTAAGGCATTGACCTACATAAAGCATTGCAACTTGTATAACTTAACGACCAACCTATTAGGTAATTTTTTGTTGTTGCGAGGAAATGCAATACTTGCTGCTTATTTAATATAAAGCCTGATTTTTTTAACAAAGAAAATTTCGACGTAACTGCTGGGGATTTTTTGCGCGAGTTGGCAACGTGGCGTCGGGCGCGTGTTGATTCTCTCGATTTGATGAGGGAAATTGCACGGATAGAGGACAACACCCTCTCTGAGTCACCAATTGGACCAATGACAAGTCACCTTGTCCATGCTTTTGTTATGTAAGGTCCTTTGGGTTGAGCCGGACCTGGATAAATGTCTGGCTCTCAATTCACAGTCTACCATCAATTACCGACAAAAAGACAAAATAATTGATTAATAAAGACATATCTTTTATATGTTTCCATGAAAGAGCCCAAAGACACAAAGAAAAATAAGTTGATTATATTAGAAACAGACCAGGACTCATATCACTTTCATTTTTAGAAAGAAACCCTCCTATAAAATCTAGATCTTAAGAAAAAGTGCAGATTTAATAAGAAGATTTAAAGATATTGTAAATCTGGCTTATGCCGGACCTGTTGATTTTTCCAGTTTCAAATAATTTTGTCATTTGAAGAGGATCATTCCTTTTCCCAGGTAAGTTTTTGTATAGTTAAATTTTTCTCAGCTGAATTCGAATAATACCTGACTATAATGACGGGTTAAAAATAAATTTGTATATTTTTTTCGGTTTTTGACCTATTTCTCATTTTTGGCCAAAGACAACGTCTTTCTAATTTTGGGTCTTTGTCCTAAATATATTTTTTTGGCCCCCAGCCGACATTTCAATCCACCAGTTGCGCATATTTAAAATTTAATCCTTTTTTATAGTTTTAATATGACAAAAATAATATAACAATTCCATTAATTTGTATCACTATGAATAATACCATATTTAACATTTCGTTCTGATAAACAAAGTTTAGAAAAAAAAATGTTTGGCATGTATATTATTGTTAACCTTTTAAATTTTTCACATAACTTAGCAACAATAACAAAGGATTATGTTTTAGTATGAATTGGGTTACTAAAGAGTTCATTTTTTGCAAGTATTGACAGGCCGTTATTTTTACGCCATTTAGAAAAACAATATTGTAGTGGAATCGTACAATTATAACGATAATTTAACAATAAACAAAAAATCAATGACCTAAGACTTCCGTTTACAGGGACATTGACATTAAACTTTCTTCAGTTAAAGTGGGACGTTCATTTATTATTTTCGCGTGTACGTATGTATTATACATTTTTTTCGTCGGGCCTCTCTGTCCTATTTAAACCCAGAAGCACAATTTATACAGATTATAAAATCGCGATTGCCCAGCAACATCAGTTGATGTCTGGTTCACAGTTATAAAACAAATCAGCCTTTGATATATTTTCTCTGTCCGTATTTTATACGTGTATACAAATTAAACAAATCAATAATCATAAATGCACTGTTATAAAGGATTTATGCTACACATTATATCAAAGAAGGATGCGCAGATGGTAATATAGTAAGAAACCTACTTACTAAGTCGCAGCATTATATCGCTGGTAGTTTAGCTTATGTAGTTCAGAGAAATCGTATGAAAGTTCGTGTTTATACCATCACTCAAATAATTAGTAGTAAGATCAGTAGAAACTTGAAGTGTGCGTTTTAGAACGTTATGTTATTGTTCTAGAATGTAGAGAAAAATTGTTTTTTAATTTCACATTTCTCTGTATTATTTAACTCTTACCAGACAATTCTCAGATCATTTCTTCTTAAATATTTACCAGAAACTCTATGGAATCTATCTCTATATTCCATAAATAAATAAAGCTATGGAAATACAGGAAGGATGACAAATAAGTTGCGATTTTTGTCGTGTTGAAACATGATGAAATACCAATTATTAATGTTAATGTCTGTAAATTAGGTATAAATTAGTCTATAAATAAGGAATTACTGATCTTCTTTTCGCTAAATGTGTGACATTTCAAAATTAAATAGTATCTGACTGAAAAATGCTTGTGTCATGCTTCATTCCTCCAGTGTATATACATATTTTATTGCGCTTCATTTAAAATTAAGATCAAAAATGTAAAATATGTCTGGCCTGATATTCTTTATTTATATTCTTAAAAAAATTAATTAATAACTCAATATCATATCAACGTTATGTGTTTGAACGATGGTCTTACATTACATAATAAAAAAAATTGTTGCCATATTTTTGATATTTTTAACTTAAGCATTGGTCACGTATTATTTGATAACTCAGTCTACAATTCTGATGGAAAAATTCCGAGAACGAATATCTAATCTACACGATTACACACTAAAAGTGAGTAAACTGTTTATTTTTGTTTGTCCTCATAGGATAGCCATACTAAATCTCTTTGAATAGATTAATGAATTTGTTATTTCAATCTTCCACTTCTTGCTAAACAAGTCAAACTTTTTTGATTTTTTTATACATCTAATAACGATATAATTATGCTACTGCGATGAAAAAAAATTGTTGCTATGTGCAGTTAATTGTTTGTAACCTTTCTTATCAGCACAAATAAAAAAATATTTTGCTCGCAATAACATTGAGGCAGTACGAAAAAAATTGCGCATGAATTGTCCTCAGATTATACATTTTTATGTTGACATAGGTTCGGGATTTTGGACTGTTTAATGATTGTATTTGCAGTTATTTATAAAATATTTACAGTTTATCAGAAATACAAATAACAAGTTTTTTTCCTATAATATAGAGAATAAATAGACAGATTATTTTGACGTCATCACCCGTAGATTGAAAGAGTAGTTATTATATTTTGTAGTCAACCAAACAACAAACAATATAATTATTAGTCTAAAACACTAATAATGCAATAAGTTTCAAATATTCATCGAAATTTTACAATATACTATATATATACAACACTACTTTTTAAAACAGATAACTTTGTGACGTCCGGCATTTATATTCTCTTAAAATATTCAATAACATCAGCTTGTCTATTTTTTATTCACTACATGAAAATAACAAATAATATAATTATCTTACAATATACATTCCTATATATTAATATAGAAACATACATATATACTTACAATGCGACTGTTGAGACAACACGACCATGTGGCGTCCAGTGTATATACATGGTCTTTTCGGTTAGAATTAATATTTTCTCCATATTATTTTATAAATTTTAGTTAGAAATACCCTCTTTATCGACTAATAATTCAGAGTTATCTAAACACGTGGATTGAAATCGTAGTATTTGAGTTTGTTCTTTCCATATATCATATCAGTCTTATTACATTTTGTACCGCTATCAGGTCATTAAGAGAAAAAACAAGAGATGGTCATTACTGAACAAATAAAAAGAGATAAAACACTGTACTAATATTTAGTTTCTATCGGTAAATTATTTTCAGTATTTTTTTTTAATTTAAACAAAGTTGAATGTCGTTTCTTTTATACTTTTTTGCCTAGCAAATTTCAAATGCGTTAAATCTTTTTATTAAAACTACTTATTTAGAATTCAGAAGAAATATTTTGTTGAATATTTAGAATAGAGTAATTAAAACTAAACTAGGTAAAATAAAAAAGGATGTGAAGAAACACGCCGAAGCCCGTGAATAAATAAAAAGAAAGTACGCACCGCAAACTTGGACTTGGCCTACATTTTAGTATTATGTCAGTCAGTAAATTTGCTTTAGGGTGTTCGCAATATGGTATACCAAATACTGTTATTTCCTTTTTTTGGTCTACTGCTCGAATTTCGGTTAATTTATTTAAAAATATATTTACTTATAACGTCCATTCACACAGAATATAGAAATAATTAAATAGAAATATCGTTCGATTGATATGCAACCTCCAGGAATTAATTAGAAATAAAATGTAGGAAGCCATAATGATAAAAGGTTGCATAATAAAAAATAAATGTATATATATATTTTATTTAGTCCCAAAATGTGTTCGATTGATTTTAAATTATGTACGTGCGGTATAAAAAGCCGCTTTTATTGCTGTTTTCGGTAGAAGTTGACCTCAGAAACAAGGTTTTCAGAGTATGGCCTTTATTCCGTTTAAGTTGAATTATTTCCGGTAACTATACTTTACTACAAATGGATTTTACCAAACGTATGGCCTTGCCGGAATAGTATATCAGTCAATGATCAAATTGTATTACGAAATGAATTTGTTTTGCGCGGTATATCGGATGTAACCTTCTCTACAACCGTCGCTTTTTTATTATTATGTCATACCAAGGTGCATATAAATATAGCCACACTGAAAGAAATTTTTGTCATGTTCATTTTTCAAAAATTTCTGATTTATTGCTGGTTTCAGAATAAGCTTTTCCACATATTGCCACTCCCTCATCTTGATTATTTCATCTGCATTGTATGCTTGTTCTTTGCTTAATGCCATCTCTGGAACTAACATTTTAGATTTTTAGAGTCTTATGTGCTCGTTTGATTAGAACCATTGCGTCTAACATTGTAGGTTGTATGGGATCTATTGTATCTCCCTTTTTTGAGTTATAACTCATCATACGCTCTCAGGGCTTTGACAAAAGCCAGTATCTGAGACGGTTTTACAGAGGTTAGTCCACCATCTCCGATATCATCAGTCCTACCAAAGTTTATGGCATGAATGGCTGTCGTCTCGGCGCACTCAGTGATGAGGTGTTCTGGGGTTTCCCCGTTTTCCCCACAGAATCTGCATTCGTCGTTGTTTCTTAGCCTCAATCTACTGAGGTGACAGCGTCCTGTTTAAAACCCTGTAACAGTCCGAAGATTGTTCTTACTATCAAGGTAAATCTTTGATTTTTCTCCGTCCTGATATATTTTTTCGAGTGTCTTAGACCGTTGAAGGATTCCTATTCCATACGTCAACTCAACGTGCTCAAGAATCAAATTCAAAAATATAGACTCAGTTCATAAACAAAATGTAAACGTTTCTTCTTGTCCAGATTGAAAAATTCTAAGATTTCGCGTATGATTTTTTTTGAGTCTGGATTTTAGAGGTAAATGTTTTAAAATGCCCGAATTCTGAATAATGAGACTCTCTTTCTTCAGTTTTATTTTTATGCTCCAATACTTTAGGTTCTTCTTCGACGAGTTCAACAATATACAGGGTGAGTCTTAAATAAGTGCAAATATTTTCAGGGCTAATAAGTCTTGACTACAGCTTGTATCTACACAGTAAAAAATGACCTGGTGGTAGAAAAGATATTTAGTGTGGTAAATTATCAGAGTGTTAATATTTACACTCGCGTTAATAAAATTAAACAGAAATAATAACACCCAAACTTTGAAAATCAAATCTACCAAAAAAAAAGTGAAATTAGTGTATGGAGTGTAAACTTCACTTATATTTGGTAAGAATCATATAATCAGTGTAAACGTTACCTTCCAAGAAATGTTTTTTTGCCCTACATACGTCTTAAAAACACCCATACCGTGTTATAAAGACTGCAAAACGCAGTTTCGGTGCACTCGGGAGTGTTAAAAAAAGCATCATATTGGGTGACGCGCGGCACATCCCCACTGCTTTCGCGTTCCTGCACGCCTATTTGCCTATTTCAAGTTGGTGGTTGTACAGGTTGTTCGCTGTGTGTTGTAGTGCCCATGATTTTGGTAAAATGATGTATAAAATTCAGTTAAACAACAAAAGTAAATACGCCAAAATTGATGAAACATCAGATAATGTGACATACTCTGAAATAGTCGAGTTAGGTAAGTAAATATCTAAGATTATGCTTAGTAGTTTAGTGCTTTGTAATTTTTAGGAGATATTTTATAATGGCAGCTTAAGAACCTCAAGTGGCTACCTGGTATGGAGGCTCCGAACCGTTGCAAGATCCAATATGGTGCCAAGCTCCAAACGAAAGTTACCACCACAAGTTACATAGAATAGTGATGACTTATCAGATGAACCAACCTTAAAAAAGCCAGAACATTGACAGAACAAGGAGTAGCACACATAGAATTTTTAAAAAATGCTTGCTGCAAGACACAGAAAAAGGAAATCATGGAAACAATGAAAAACCTTTTTAACTGTAGAAAAATGAATTACTTTTCATTTGTCGATTATCCCAGATTTTTGGACACGCCAGGACTTGTATGTCACGTCATTTTAATTTAGTGAACTTTAAAACCTAATTTTTTATAATTTTAGATTGAACAAGATGTCAGCTTGCTATATCCTGCTAATGCTAATAACTTTGTGGCGAAGTTTGAAAATAAGGCTGCAAATATGATAGAAATATACGAGGCGACAATTTCCTACCTCAAATAAGGTATATATTATATTTTTTATTTTGGCTAAAAAAAGTCCTTTATGGGTATTTCGCCACTGCACTGCAAGAAAATCTACAAAATAAAATAGTTATTTTTGGTAAACACTTGCATTAAACCTAAACGGACACTGCTTGTCAGAATTTATGTTTACAGTTAAACAAATTTGCCTAACAAAAAAATGCTTAACGTTTCGGAAAGTTTATCTCTTTCCGTCGTCGGAAGCAAAAAAAAATACAAAGGAAAAAGAAAAAAAAACTATTTAAAAAAAATTAAAAATTTTATTTATAAATTTGTATAACTGTAAACATAACTTCTGACAAGCAGCGTCCGTTTAGGTTTAACGCCAGAAGTGTTTACAAAAAATAACTATTTTATTTTGTAGATTTTCTTGCAGTGCAGTGGCGAAATACCCATAAAGGATTTTTTTTGGAGAGATGAATCCGCCACATAGGTATAGACATTTTTTATTTTATTTTGTGTTTACCCATAATGTGTAGTTGCCTATAGAGTAAGGAATATTTTTTTGTTTCGTTGTTACCTAATGTATCTACCTAAATTAAGGTACATTTCTTGTATTATTTATTATATTAAATAATAAAAAATGTTTTGTATTCTTATTTTTTTTATTTTTTTATGTTTTCCCACCTTAAATTTTAATTATAGGATAAGTACACGAACTGAAATCAAATTCACACTCTAATAAATGTATTTTACCATACTGATAAATTATTTTAACACCCAAACTATGTATATTTGACACTCAGTTAAAACCATTTTTACACTTAAAAATTGATTATCCTATTCCATACGTCAACTCAACGTGCTCAAGAATCAAATTCAAAAAAATATAGACTCAGTTCATAAACAAAATGTATAACGTTTCTGCTTGTCCAGATTGAAAAATTCTAAGATTTCGCGTATGATTTTTTGAGTCTGGATTTTAGAGGTAAATGTTTTAAATGCCCGAATTCTGAATAATGAGACTCTCTTTCTTCAGTTTTATTTTATGCTCCAATACTTTAGGTTCTTCTTCGACGAGTTCAACAATATACAGGGTGAGTCTTAAATAAGTGCAAATATTTTCAGGGCTAATAAGTCTTGACTACAGCTTGTATCTATGTTGTCGTTTATCATCGTATGTTACCCTTATGCTACATTTTTTTAATTGCATAGAATTTTTTTCTGTGTATCAGCAAATCTCATCTATATTTTTCGTGAGTTATTTTAAACGTAACCTTCTGTATTCGATCGATTATATCATACAAATGAAGTTACTAACGAATGAGGTACCAGGAAATACGTAAGGATTAGCATTATTGAAAGTGGAAATGGATTTATAATGAAACCTATTCTAACTAAAACAGTCCGTAATATTTCTTTGGAAGCATTCGACAGACCTTTATTATGAGATGTTATGTAATTTGCTTTGCTGAGTCACAACGTGTTTTTATCATACGCAAAAGTAGTATTTTTTCAATAGATTAGATAGATTCTCTGTATTTGATATGTCTATTACGTTGGCATTTTTGTTACGTATAATTCAGGTGTCCAGTTTTATTGTTAAAATATTTCTGTGTTACGTTTAATTAATTACCTTTTTTTTATAAAAAGATCCTATTAAATTAAATTTTATTAATATAGATCTTAAATTTAAGCTAGTATCATTCTTTTTTCTTCTTTTGATCTTAAGATTTAAATGAAATAATTACCTTGAATAGCAATTTTATTTTTATTATAAGATATTTCTCTACAGGGTGAGTCTTAAAGAAATGCAAATATTTTCAGGGCTGGTAGATCTCGATATAAGAAACATTTTCTCTTTACCGTTTTTCAAATAAGTCCAAAATAACCGACATATTTTACTTTGAAAATTTAAAAAATTGATTTTTCGCTTCAATTTTGAGAATCACTAGATCTTTTATGGATTTACTTTCTTGTAAATTTAATCTACTACCTATGTTGTCATATTATAAAGATATTATGTTCTTTAACTAAAAATTAAAAATGTTTCTTAAAAATTCCAATTTTTGCGAAGAAAATATCATAGACGTGTTCCTGGGGTCAGAATATACTACCCCTAAAATATTTGCAATCATTTCATGTGATTCACCCTGTATAGTCACATGAAATAATTGAAAAATCAATAAAGAACGTCTGTTTTGTTGTAATTTTGTGATACTATTATTGAAATTAAGTTGCAGTAATCTGCGACTTGGAAAATTGTTTAATCAAATATTTATTGACGATGTGAATTACCTTAAAAACCTACACTTTTTCTCTATATTAAAAAAAAATTTGATCATACTAAATGTAGATTATCAGATTAAACAATATGACCTTTGATTGTCGTGATAAAAGTATCGTCAGTGTTTACAAAGCTAAAATTACAAAATACTTAAGTCGATTGTTGTAATGAACGATAAGCCATTTAAACAGAAAAATAGGAATATACATAGTTCATGCACCGGAAACACGGAGAGAGATAAAAGATTAACAAAAAGATATGGATTAGACAGAGAAGGGTATGGTATAGTGAACAGTTTTATGGACAAATTATTTCAAAAAAAAAAAATATATATATATATATATATATATATATTAATTGAGGTACCTTGAGGGTAATATCAAGTAGACTATTTGTCGCTATATATTTAATGAAAGTGGGTATTTCCAGCACCTAATAATTTCGTTATTATCTTAATTTATTTCCACTTAATTTTTGAACTAAATAATTTTATGCGTACATTTTTTTCAACTCATGACGGACTTCATTTGTACTACAAGAAAACGAAATTCAAGCCGATCACCCTGTTATTTGGGTGTACTTAATACCGTTACCAATTTTATAAAAAGTGTGTTACTCCACAGGGAATTCGCTTTGCATTTCATATTTTTTTGCGTTATTACTATTATTATACTTGCAATTTTAATACAAAGAACTATTTAGCATAATTATATTGTTTACTGTATAGCCCTTTCTTAATATCTCTCAGTGGTTATGTCAAACACTTGAAACCTGTAAAGAATCCGAGAAAGATATAACCACTACGTACTTATATTGATTGTTTCACGTTATTGCAAATTTTTTCAATCTCCTTTTTAACGTTTCTTGTTATTTAAGCCGTGTTCTTGAAGAATATAAAGAAAATTATATGTGTCAATGTCAACAAGTAGCTTTAATAAAAATATCTACTATAATACATTTTCTTATATAGGTGGAGTTTATTTTATACGGGTTGTTAAGTAAATTATAGAGAGATTTATAATTATAACACTTAAAGCTAGTTCGAGAACTTTCCCTGTTTTCAAATCATAAGTTCTCGTGTATGTTATAAAAATACCGTGTGATCGAAAAAAACGGGGTTCAGATGGATTGGAAATGAATATCGAAGACATTACCTATATTTTAGATATAAAATCAGAGCGATCTTCGTTTCATAGCCATCGCTGACGCCGTTTTTTATTCGATCATACGGTAGTTTCTTAAATTTAAGGACTTTTAGCATGAAAAAAAATTTAATGTAATTTACCATGAGACTTTTTAAACTGTCATCATTCAAAGCCTGTTTTTTGGATACCCCAAAATAATACAAAAAACTGATTAAACTAATTTATCAGTACCTACTTAATATAAACAAATATTGATTTCCAGTCTGTATATGAATAATTCAAGTTTCATAATAACAAGTAGGCAATTTATTAAACGTATTTCAAATACAACAAGCTAAAAATAGTTCCCCGCATTTGCATTGTTAGATTTCGAAGTTATTTTAAGATGTTTATTATTTTCTCATTGAGAAAAAGATGGGAAAAGCAGTTATTATTTTCTTCGAATTTAGATCAGAAGTAAACAGTGATATGTATTCGTTTTTTGACTATTTTGAAAAATACCTGTTTACAGGGATAATTTCTATTTAAATTACTAATACAGTGTGATCAAAAAGTTTTTCGATCTAGTAGAGGTATCAAGCAGGTTTTGGGTAATGACAGACAAAAATTCGAATTTATAATGAAAATGATAGATAAATAGTCTTGTATTATAGGAAAAGATATTATTTGTTGTACTACTGGTAATAAAAAGTGACAGTTTTTATATGAAATTAACATGAAATTAACTGTCCACATCCGAAGGTATTTTTTTTTGAGACATAGACTACATTAAAAAGTTTTTCTGGATCAATGGATTATATTGATTAATTTTTTTGAGAATGAATTGATGAATTTTTGTGTGTTGGTTAGTGTGAAGAAAACTTACCAGGTGGTTGAGAGAAAATTAATCCATTATCAGCTGTGTGTATGGTGGGCATGATGTAGGTGGCTGGACCGGCAGACCGGTGATGGTGATGCAAGGAAGCAATGGTTAGGCCTTGGATCACTGTTCACAGAAACCGAGAATTAGCGCGGAAAGCGTCACAACTTATGCTGGAGCTGTGTGGCTGCAGCAGCGGCGTTCTTTACCGAAGAACCAAGTGCTTTGGTGTGGCGGTACGGATTTGCCGGCCGTCTATGCGCCAAGAGCTCGCAGTTTGCAATGTCGAGAGTCAAGTTGATGGCCGCGTACTGTACAGCGGCGAATAAAGGATGTAAAAGTATGAGATAGTGACCTAGATGTTCGTAGTGCGAGGTAGTGGCGAAGAAAGCAAATGGAGAAAGGGAGAACCGAGGAAATGCGGCCAAAGGATACGCGCGGCATTACGTGAGATTACCGCGATACATAATCTGGCCCCGATTCCTCTTCATCTAAGGATGATACTTTCTGCGCTCATTTGCTAACGGCAGTACCGTGCCATGCCACCGCATTCTCTAGTGAAAAACGAAACTGCCCATTGGTACTTGATTTTCCACACCAAATCTAACCCAGATATCCTAAAACCATCATCGTAACTCCAATCCATTCAATAAATGTTACTTAACAGTTTTGTTTCTTGTTCCTTTATTTATAATTATCTTAATAATGAATTATCTAATATTCTGGCATTACACATCATGCAAATATTAATATTTTTGGGGGTAGTATATTTCGGCCTCAGAAACACGTCTTTGAGCTT